TTTTTTTTTTTTTTTTTTTTTTTTTTTTTTTTTTTTTTTTTTTTTTTTTTTTTTTTTTTTTTTTTTGTTCACATATATCGTTAACGAGTTAAGCTATGTTCAAATTGATAATTTTAGCATATAGTTTAATAGATTAATGTGTGTTTCACTAGTATTTTGTGATTGGGATTAGTGTTAGTGATTAAATAGAAGCATACTTTAAGATATGAGATCAAAAAAGCGTATAATTCAAAATTTAGGGATGAGATTTATGATTTGTCTTTTAAAAAACTAAGGCAAATATTAATTTATATCTCTAAACTTTGTCACAATCGCACTTTGATGACAGCAGATTAACGATTGTGCGACACTCACTTCTCAACATCAAGTAAGTTAAGTCCATTCGTTCTTTTGTTGCCTACGACAAGTGATGTATACTCAAGCCTCTAGCTCTGGTTCAAGAAGAAAGTTTTAGAAATCGAGGCAGAGAGATTTCGAAAGAGAGTTTTAGAAGCAAGAGTTGAGAAAGGTTTACTGCATATAACTATCGAGTAGGGAGAAATTGACAACTAGTTATATTCCCATATAGTACATTTTGGGGCATTTTTGTCCAGACGAGTGTAGATGTGATTCTGATGAACAGTTATACACCCTCGTATTGACTCGATATAAAATAGTAAATACTTATCTAAGATAAAAGCATGAAAAAAAAGTTTAGAACGGGCATGCAACCATAAGTAACCAGACTTTTTTAACTTCTATAGTATAAGCCAAAAAAATCTTATCAAAATAGGGACAAAAGATTATTTTTGTCATTTATTATTAAATAAATGTTAACTAATTTAATATTACACGACAGATAAATTAATAAAATAGGAAGAAGACGCGTGAGGACCAATGAGCTGTTTACACATAAGCATACCTAAAATTAAATTTAGGGTTTTAAAAACTCAGCCTAAAAGAAGTGAAGCTTTAATATATATATATATATATATATATATATTAGCATATGATAGCAAAAGCAAACATTTTTTTAGAAAAAGGTAAAAAAATTTAAAATATATAACCAACTTTAATTCTGTTATTTAATACTTATTTCATGGGCTTTTGTCCCCTTACAATAATTATTTTTGTAGTTTTCAATCAAATATTCACCAATTTTTTTTAAATTCATATCAACGTTGAGCGACCGTTCCTTTACTTGGTACGATCTAATTATTATTTGCTCTTATATGTATAACGAGTATCTGTTGTTTTTATGTAGATATAATACTGTAGAATCTCATATAAAATCTACTCTACATTTCGGACTTTCTCTTAAGATTTTAAAACATGTTTGTTAAGGAGAGGTTTCGACACCTTTATAAGAAATGTATGTTTCGTTCTCCTCTTCAATCGATGTACTTCTTAAGATTTACATGCATGACCCTTCAAGTTTTCTTTATTTATTTTTTAGTACACACAAGATCGGTTCCTTAATGGAATGTCATGTCCTTTTTTTATGTCCCTTTGAGAGAACAAAAATAAAAGTTAGGTCTTGTTTGTCAGAATGCATCTATAAACAATTCTCTTACACAAAAAGAAAGAAAATAAAGGGATTGTGAAAGTGCTCAAAAGTGAAGAGGGTTTCTAAATTGTTTTTATACATCAATTCTAGAGTTTTCGAGTTCGTCGTTTTGTCGATGATTCTTAACAAGAACACGAACACGAACACAAACAAGAACAAAAAACAAAGATTGGTTAATTACGCGGTTGATCGACGAAAAAACAACAAGAATATGAAAATGAAGATATGATTTGGACTTAGAATTTACCATGATCCTCCACTCAACATCCCACTCCAATACCCATTTGAATCTCCTTGTTCTTTGCCTTGTTCAACTCCATTAGACTCCCCTTGCTTCAAATCTTCAAACAATGGCAGCTGCGTCACCCTCCGGTCCCCATTGCCGACGTCGGTCGGGACGACTCCATACCCATCAAGAGAGAATCCAATGCTTGGCTTAAATGGCTCGTGGAGATCAGGAAACCCAGTAGTGTAAACGGAGCGAGGATCAGGGACGATGGAAGGCATTGGAAGAAAACAATTCAAGTCTCTAGAGTTCTTGCTCGTCATCCCGGTGAGAAGCTCCATCGCCGAGAGGTGATTTGTCGTGACATCAATCGTCGAAGGGTTACGACCGACGACAACGGTCTCGGAAGAGGCGGAATTAGGGTTTTGTGGGAGATCAAGAATTTTCTTTTGTGAAGAAGGTCTCTTGTTCTTCCTTGAGCCACCTCCAACAGGAATGTTTCTTAAGGAACCACCTTCAGTCCAATACCTTCTACATGTCTTGCAAAAGTATCTTGGTTGTGTGAGGCTATAATTATTGTAATAACAAAACTTTGTATTGCTTGAATTACACCTTGGACAATTCAAAGCTTGTTCCTTTTGGGGTCTAATTTTTCTCTCTAAATTTGAAACTCCTTGTTTTGGGTAAGTGTTTGCCACAATTTCTTCAATGGGTTTCATCAAAATCTCCTAAAAAGTTCACATTTTGCACACATAAACAACAAGAACATCAAAAGATATACAATAAAAGACCAACTTTGTTGAAGAAAGTATCAATTTTGCACACATAAACAACAAGAACATCAAAAGATACACAAAAAAGGGCCAATTTTGTTGAAGAAAGTATCAATTTTGAGATGAAACCAAAACCCCATGAAGAAATATTAGAACTTTAAGAAGAAGAAGAAGAAGAAGAAGTACCTGTGGCCATTGAGATGTATCCATGGAAATGAAGAAATTTGAAGAAAAGCTTGAAAAAGAAGGTTTCCAGATGGTTCATGTGGAACTTCTGGCCTTTCAATTGCTCAAACCCCTTCTTTTCATCCCCTCACACTCAAACACAAGAGAGAGAAAGAGGAGAGAGAAAGAGGAGAGAGAAAGAAGAGAGAGAAAGAGTGTTTTATTCTTTACTCTTTATTATATGTTCAATTATATTCTATATTTCCCAAGAGTTTACAATAATTGTATACTTAGACTTAGTGGGAATATTTGTCTACATCGTAAAAAAATATGACACTTAGTGTGGGTGGATGGGTTACTGGCCCTAACCATGGCTAGTCTGTTTCTCGATCGTTGCACGGTTAGATCTATAAGAAATAAACTGTAACAGCTCAAGCTCACTCTTAGTAGATATTGTTCTCTTTGTAAAACTTTATCTTTGAAAGATTAAAAAGATGTTTTCACACTCTTATAAGACATGTTTTGTTCCCCTGAACCCAACGTTTTTGCTGGCACACTGTCCGGTGTTTGTCTTTGATACCCATTTGTAACAGTTCAAGTTCACCGCTAGCAAACATTGTCATTTTTAGATTTTGTTAAACGTGTCTTGCTAGCAGATATTATTCTTTTGGGTTTTTCCTTTTGAGGTTTCTATCAAGTTTTTAAAACATGTCCGTTAGAAAGAAGTTTCCACATCCATATAAGGAATGTTTCGTTCCTCTCTTCCACCAATGTAGGATCTCACATAAACAGTAAAATTATTTCAATACCTAAGTTTGAAATTCAAATCCGACACTAGATGACATCGACATTCGGCGACTTTTCTTACAAGAAGATCCATTACCTACTTGACTTACTTTCTAAAACTGAATACTATCTCGACAAACCAACATAGTTTCGTTCATCTAAGAAGTCATATTGTGACAGACTCGTCTAATAATTTTCTCAACATTCTCATCAACCAATCATCTCTCTCCAACACTCTCTCATGAACACAGTTTGGTCGTATTTCCTTGTCAATATAGTTCGATAACTTTATGCAGAGAGCACTTTAGAAAGTGCTTCTCTCACTTCACTTTTGTTTTGCTATGTATTAAGAAATTTATATATATCACTATCAACTTCTATTTTTATATTTCTTTTTCAAAATGTGATATCTCACCGTCATTATGAGTCTTGTAACCGTCATCGGTAATCTATTTAATTCTCAATTCAAAATAGATAATAGTTACCGTAACTAATAAATGTATCGAACATGTTTTTTTTTCTTTTTTTTTTTTTAATTAGATAGTCAAACGGGGAACTTAAATTATAATAATTTAAAAACTAAAATAAAAGGAAATAAAAAAAATATTAAGAAATTCCTAAATGTTGTTTGATGTGATTGATTGCTTAAATGATTAATTATTTTGTTTTTTTTAATGGTTTAAAAAATATTAATTATCAGTATGCATTACTAACTTCGATTATAAACACTAAATATTTTTAATTATCTATTAATTTTAAAATCGATAGTCAAAGTGTTAAAATATAATATTTTGAAAATATATTTTAGATATTACATCTTAATATTCTGATTTATAGTATTTTATTTTATTTTATTTTTAATATTTAATTAGTTTATATTTTTTTTAATTTTTAGATATTAGTGAGTAGCTCGTATCCTATTTAAAGCTTATGAATATTAACGAGAACACATTCATAAAACTACTCCATAACTACTTACGTTGTGTCGGTCATGTACTAATATTTTACCTAATCATTATTTAATACTTGAAAATAATATTATTAAAATTTTATGAGATTTCTTATCTAAAATTAATAATTAAATTGAAAATTATGTTTGATAAAAAAAAAAAAACTCGAACCGAACCCAATCTAACCCGCATGGTTAAATTTAAAAAAATGAAATTTTTTATATTATGGTTCTATTAATTAATTTATTTTAAGATAAGTATAAATATTAAAAAATAATTTTAATTTCAATAATCATATTTAAAAATAAAGAAAATAAATGATAATCGAGATAAGTAAATAATCATATTGAACCTTTTTTTTTTTTTTTTCTTTTTTTCGCTCTTTGGCATTGGCTTCACCTTCACTCAACCGCAGAAATGCAATCATATTTTTAACGGTGTATGATTGCGATCCCCCTAATGCCATGGCGTAATCATGGCCATTCATTTTTATTTACATGGGCCCCTCCAAGCACGCTTGCTCACGTGCCACTCTCTGTCAGATGATATATAATCAAATAATCAAATAATCGCTTCGCTGTGTGCAATTTTGTGTTTGTGTGGGCCTTCACTTTGTGGTGGGAATTATATTTATGGCAAATTGGGGGACTATCTTGTAATTACGTAAATAGCAAGGTGTTGTACCAATTTTTTTTTTTTTTTTTTTTTTTTTTTTTTTTTTTTTTTTTTTTTTTTTTTTTTTT